GCACCTAGGTGCGGCCCGTGCGTCGTTTCGCTCGCCGTTTCGCGAAGAGGCGGTGGCTGAACCGGCTCAAATGGGCCCCACTTTTAAAAAAAAATGATTTTTATTCGTTTTTTGGCCCAAAAAATTCACAAAAATTCCCAAAAAATTCTGAAAAATTTCTAAAAATCTATTTTTTTTTTAGAAAATTCTAGAATTTCGAAAATGATAGCAACTCCCCCTCATTCTCTCAAAAACCTATAAATAGGCCTCCTAGGCATTTAAAAAATTTGTAACTTCTCTTTCTTTCTCCCTCTGGCTCTCTGGTGGTTGAGGCTTCCGCTATTTTTGAGTGAGAAACTTTCCCTGCTAGAATTAGAGCCCCTCCTCGCGTGCAGGAGTTACGGGATTTCTCTTCCTTCCCCCACGACTTTCTAACAGTTGAGGCTTCCGCTATTTGTGAGCGAGAAATTTCCTCTGCTTGAATTAGCGCCCCTCATCGCGTGCAGGAGTTACAGGATTTCTCTTCCTTCCCCTACGGCTTTCTAACGATTGAGGCTTCCACTATTTGCGAGCGAAAAATTTCCCCTGCTAGAATTAGCGCCCCTCCTTGCATGCAGGAGTTACAATGTTTCTCTTTCTCCCCCTCGGCTTTCGAGAGATTTATTGAACTGCAGAAATCTAGCGTCGGATAGAAATACGGCATCGGGCAGAAGACCGACGAAATTCCGACGACGATCAGAATTCCGACGACGATCAGAATTCCGACGACGAGTAGAAGTACGACGTCGGGCAGAATACCGATAAAATTTCATCGACGATCAGAATTCCGACGACGAGTAGAAGTACGATAGAACTCCAACGTTGTGTAGAAGACCAATGAAAGTTCGTCGACGAGCAGAAGTCTGACGACGCGTAGGAGTCTGTTGACGAGCAGAAGTACGACGACAGGGAGAAGTCAGACGTCGAGTAGAAGTTCAACATCGGGTAGAAGACCGACGAAAGTTAGTCGACGAGCAGAAGTCCGACGACGCGTAGGAGTCTGCTAACGAACAGAAGTCCGACGACGGGGAGAAGTCTGACGTCGGGTAGATGTTCAACGTCGGGTAGAAGACCGACGAAAGTTCGTCGACGAGCAAAAGTCCGACGACGAGTAGGAGTTCACTGACGAGCAGAAGTACGACGACAAGGAGAAGTCTGACGTCGGGTAGAAGTTCAACGTCAGGTAGAAGACCGATGAAAGTTCGTCGACGAGCAGAAGTCTAACGACGCGTAGGAGTTTGCTGACGAGCAGAAGTACGACGACAGGGAGAAGTACGACGTCGGGTAGAAGTTCAACGTCGGGTAGAAGACCGACGAAAGTTCATCGACAAGCAGAAGTCCGACGACAGGGAGAAGTCCGACGTCGGGTAGAAGTACGGCCTCGGGTAGAAGACCGATGAAAGTTCGTCGACGAGCAGAAGTCCGACGACGAGTAGGAGTCCAAAAATATTTGTTCCAAAATTTTTGACTGACTAAATTCTTTGTATAAGTGATAGATTTATCAATCACTTGCATTCTTGGAGTCTTTATAGAAAGAGCATTGTTCACTTAGAATATTGTTCGGTGATGTTGACCTTTGTAAAAGGGCTCGAGAGAATCCACCAAGGATGTGAGACCTATCCGAGGTTGTACGTCGGAGCCTTTGCTCGACGATGTTAACCTATGTGGAAGAGGTCGGGAGAATCCATCAAGGAAGTAAGACCTATCCGAGGTTGTATGTCAGAACATTTGTTCGATGACATTAACCTGTGTGGAAGAGGTCGAAAGAATCCACCAAGGATGTAAGACCTATCCGATATTATATGTCGGAGCCTTTGCTCGATGACGTTAACCAGTGTGGATGAGGTCGGATCAAATTCCCCTGGGATTGATCATCCGGTGATTGAGATACAATATGGATTGTGTATTTCTCGAATCACGGAGAAAGAGTTTGAAATGTTTTTCTTATCTTTCATAAGAGAAAAAATCATACCACAACAACATGAACATTCTATTACTACATTACGTAAGATAGTACAATAGTTTCCTAGTACGACTTACAAAGTACTCAATACACTAGATCTACGTACGGTGATAATACAACAACACTTAACTTTGAAGAATACATTAGAGATATCAAAGTGGTACCATACTCAACATAAAAAGGGACAACAAGACAAGTAGAATTGCTAATACAAATCCGCTAAGTGCATGATCATTCAATCTCTCCAACCATTTGAATAGTATTCAATGGTTGTCTTTGTTGTTGACTTTGCCCCCCAGCGGGATGAGCTTCCTCTCTGGTAGGTGAATCTTGAATAAATTGTCGAAGGTAGCCCTGACGGATAAGCTTTTCAATCTCATCCTTGAGTTGCTTGTAGGCTTCGGTAGTGTGACCACGGCTATGATGAAAGTGACAGTACTGATCTGAATTTCCTGTGTTCGACTTCAAAGGGTTTGGCCATTTTATTGTATCTTGATCTCGAACGGCCATCAATACATTTGTTCGATACGTATTGAGTGGGGTATACTCCTTCTCCTGTCAGGATTCTCATCGTGGTGACAAAGACCTATGAGGTAGATTATTCTTCCCATGCTTTTTCTGTTGTGAGAAAGAATTATCCATCCCAGGTGCACCTTTGCGCTTCCCACTGATTTGCTCAAACTGCTTCCTGTGAGCATTTATAGCTTCATCGCACGGTGAGAGCGCTTTTTATAGTTTTTCTGGAGTGACATAGCCCGTAAATAGGTGTGAGATCATGGGCGAATAGGGAGTGGTTCGAATGGACGCCCGATATTGAACCCTTCGATCGTGCACCATTCGTTGGACATTTGGAGGACTTAATGATGTCGGAATTCGGCGAACTTGGGCTCGTTGGATTCGTCTCGTCGAGCCGTTCAATTCGAGTATAAAATCGTCAAAATCGGAGACCGTTTGGTTACTCAAATTGCGGTTTGAACCTTCCAACAGCGCTTCGGGTCCTTGATTCGGACTCATTTGGACTCGGATTGAGTTGAATTTGGTGTCGTTGGGTTTGTATTTCCGAGATGCTCAGTTTGACAGTAAGCTCGCTGAAATCGGAGTTCGGGTACTCCCAAATTAATTTTTGAAGTTTCCAACTAGCTTTTGCCTCGAGATTCGTGCCCGATCAAGATAATTTTTGGAGTACGTATCAATACTAGAAAGCAGTTTTATGAAACAGGAAGAAAGCCGTCCCAAACGAAGCTTTATTTTGAGACAGTTTTTTTATTGCTTCTTGAAGCTATTTTACAAAGCAGTAAGAAAGTTGTCCCAAACGAAACCGAAGGCTTCATTTAGGATAGCCTTCCTATTGTTTTGTAAAACTATTTTTTTAGTAAAATAATCTCTTGAACCGATAAAAAATAGTAGCTCAAGGCTATTCCAAACGAAAGGTATTTTATTTATTAATATATTAGGAGTGCAAATTAAATTAAATACAGAGCTTTTAAAAGTTTTTTTGTGTTTGGTTAAAAGAAAATGCAAATTCAAAAAGTAATTTATTTAGAGATTGAAATTCTATTTTATTTATTTTCAATGCATTCGAAACTGATCAAGATTTATGGAAGAATGGGCTGACCTGCTCTGGTGTACAATGTCTACTGTTCAAAACAACTATTTTATGGCAGTTTTGTAATTATTTAAAAATTTTCTATTTACTTATAACTTAATGAATATGAAAAGAATGTGTAATACATCATAAATATTATTTCGCATGTAAAGAATGCAATGAATTTAATGGGCTGAAATTAGGAAGTAGTTTTGTCAATATAGATTAATTATTTATTTATTTCTGTTTAATCAAGTTTGTATTAATTAGAAAAAAATTAAGAAAAATGTTGAAATTTTTTGAATTGCAATTTCTGCTAAAATATTTAAAATTGCTCAACATAATATAATAATAAAGATATTAAGTATATTTTTGAATAAAGTTAAAAATATTTTTTTTATAAAATTTTAATTTAAAAGATTGAACTCAATGAGAGGCATTTATTTTTCAATTATCTCATGTATCATGTAGCCTTAAAATTTGTATCAAAGTTCATGAACCTTAAATCCTAAAATCACTAAGGGACTGTTTGGTTGGAAGTAGAGGGAAACGAGTAGATATTAATTAATTGAGTTCGAGCTTGAGCTTTATTCTACGTGTTTAAGCTGGCTCACGAGCCGGCTTATTTATTATTAAAGAGAGAAAACAATTATGATTCAAAGCAATTATTATAATAAAATGATAAAAAAATGAGAAATTATAAAAAAATAATAAATTACTTAATATAAGAAAATAATATATAATTTTAAATATTTTTTAAACTTTGTACTTAAAATCTTGAATCCTAATATATTTTAAAAATATTTTGTATAGATATTTTTAAAATTAACCGTCTCACGAGCTAACGAGTCTAATCAGGACTGACTCAAGCTTAACTCGTTAACTCATCAAACTAGACTCACAAGCCACTTATCAAGCCAATCCCTAGTTTGCTCATGAGCCGACTTGATTTATTTACACCCCTAATTGAATGTGAAGTGGGTGTACATTATTTTTTTAAGGGGTTTAAAATTTTTTTTGTTAGTTCGTATATAAAAGAAATGCAAAATAAAATAAACAAAATGCAATATAAAGTATTCTAATTCTTTTTTGAGGTAAAAATAAACTCGCTCAACAGTCTGTCACCAACCGACGTCGCAACCCGCCCACCGCCGATTACCCCTCACCAAGCACCACCATAGCCATCCACCAGCCACCCCTCCACCACTCATCACCACTCGCCAACATAACGGTCATCCGCCGTCAATCACCGCCGCCATCATCTGCCGCCAACCACCCCAGCAAGCAACCACCTTCGCCGCTCAGCTTGCAACTAGTGCTAATTAACTCCTGTGTACTATAATTAATTAGCATTAATCAATGGTGAGCTATTCCCACAAATTATCTTATAAGTATTTAAATATAAAACTTTTGCCCCTAAATCAGTGGAAGTAATCAACCATTCCACAACAAATGATAAGATAACACACATATAATAGACGAAAACAGGAACGTAATAAGAAAATGGAAGCTCAGCTAGGATTTAGAACAATATCCTGAATTATAAGAAATAATACAACTCATTTCCAAGAATTACTAGTCCTCTCACCACTGTTACATCTCATTAAATACAGAAGAAAGCTGAAAACATAAAAGGATGAACACACCAGGAAGTTCAGAGACAAAGGGCCAAGTTTTTTCTGTCACCAGAGCACCAAATTCTTGGTAAGCATCACATATTTACAGCCAGCCCCATTTTCATTTTTTTTCCCTTTGATCATTCATGTAACACTTACACAAAGAGCTGCTTAAGCTCCAGCAGCAATGGAAAGCTTAAACAGCTTCTTACTGAACTAAACAGAAGAGAGAGAAAAGAATAAAATGGTCCTACGTTTAGAACCAAAAAAGAACTTAAATGAATCTCGTAAACTCAATCCATAAAAAGAAGATAGCTTGTTTGGATTTCTGTCTTCTTCTTCTTCTTACTTGTTTTCATTTTTTACCTGCAGCGATCCATCCTTCATCAGCTTCAAGCTGAGGCTATTGAATCTTTCACGAGAATACTGTCTTGATGCCTTCCTCCAATCTGTGCCTGCTTTCATCATTGCTGCAAATTCCTCATAGCTAATTTTTCCATCCTGCGGTGGAGAAGGAGAAGGAGAAGGAGAAGGAGAAGGGCAATGTTAGTTGAGAAGCTACTATGGATAATGACTGAATCTATGTTGCACCGATACACCTATTTATGAAGGCGTGCTGCATCGGATACGTGTCGGACACGAATATACATCCGATACGGCACTGATACGTGTTGGATACGTCAAAGCCGTATCCAATTAAAATATTATTTAATTTCAAAAGGACATGCGTATCAGATACACGTGTCCATTAAAAGACGAAAAAAATCCAAAAAAAGACACGTCATATTTGATTATGTGTTTGCGAACAAGGTTCTTTCATATTCGAACCCGTGAGCTTTTACATTGATGTTAGTTTACTAAAAAATAGGATATTAGGGCATCAAATTATTTTGCATTTGTAATGCTTTGATTTTTATTTCATGTATTTATTTGTCTTCTTAAATGAAAAAAAGAAGAAGAAAATTTAGCTCTCATATATTATTCAGTAAACATGCCACCAAATCATACAACAACATAATTAGTGAAATCATGCCACAAAATTCTTATTAGTCAATTAGTTTTAACTCTTCCCTTGACTCAATGCTTACTTTTATTTTGATATTATAAGCTATAGTGCTACAAATGATGTTGCTTTTATATTATTTTGTCATTTCAAATATTATGCTTTGATGTTTTCTTAATTTTTATGTATGATTTATAAATTATAATGCCGAGTCCGCGCCATACCCGTATCCTGTTTTTTTAAGAATTAACGTGTCTCATATCTGTATCGTGTCGTATCCGTGTCACCGTATCCGTATTAGTGCAACATAGGACTGAATAAATGCTAAATAGAAAATGATAAACTAACCTTGTCAGTATCCACATCACTGATAATGGCATTGATAACTTCCTCACTGTTGGAACCCAAGTCTTCTTTAAGTGCCTCCCTGAGCTCTTCAATCTCAATGAATCCACTCTTGTTCTGATCGAAAAAGGCAAAGGCTTTATGAAGATGCTCATCATTGCCCAGCTTCTGCAGGTGAATTGAAAGAGCCACAAATTCCCCATACTCTAGAGTTCCATCTCCGTCAACATCAGCCTGCCATTGAAGTTATTATTCAGTTCTCCACAAATTATGATTCAGTAAATGAAAAAGAAACATAATGGGCGAAACTTACAGCTTCCATTAATATCTGCACATCTGCATCCGGAATCTGGTGCCCATGCTTATGAAGTCCATACTTGAGCTCCTCAAGAGTGATTCTTCCATTGTTGTTTATGTCCATCTTCTTGAACATCTCCTTTATGCCTGCAACTTCTTCCACAGTTAGATGCTCAGCAACAACCTGCAAATTAATCGCAATATGAAACAATGGTTAGATCATCGGAAAAGACAAAGTAAAAGCAAGCTGAAGGCTGCCGCCGATTTACATTAAAAAATGGAAATTTTCAAGCACTACATGTTTGATTTCAAATGGTCTTTCTCTTTTGGCTTCTTCCTTATTAAATTTAACATTATTCTTATTTATTCTTTCATGGTGCTATCTCTCTATGGATGTGTTGGGGGTGTCTTTCTCTTTTGGCTTCTTCCTTATTAAATTTAACATTATTCTCTGTGATGTGAAGTCGCAGGAGGTATATGTGGAAGTAATCATACCCTGAGAGCTCTCTTTTTGAACTTGTTCATCACAGAGAATTGTTGAAGTCTTGCTCGAACAGTCTCGCCCAAATTCACATTTGGAGCCTTCTTGGCATTCTGCAACCAAGGGTGATCTGCAAGATGACACACTGCGTTAAGAATGCCAAACGCATGTTCTGCAACCTATCAAGTAAATATCTGAACTAGTAAGGGCATCTCCAACCGAAAATCTCATTTTTTACTCCAAAATACAGTAAAACTAAAAAATGGCGTGATTCATCTCCAATCGAACTCCATTTTGCGCCCTTAGTAGAAGGTAACCGTCTTTCTCGTCTTTCGGGCATTTCTTTGGCAAATCCGGTAGAGACAGAAAAATAACGCAAGTGAACAATGCAACGTCAATATTGGCGTCGCACTGTTCACCCGCAACCAAATACCGGAAGTTTTGCCGTTCGGCTAGAGCTTGCGAGCAACGCCATTCATGCATTTGGAGTTCGGTTGGAGAAGGCCTAAGAAGTCATAACAACGCTGATTTACCCATCATATAATGATATCATACAACTTTCTGATATTAGTTAAGCTTGATTGCCACCATTGCTATATACGTGAGCCTCGCAAGCATATCAAGATGCCATGAACACGCACAAAATGCAAGGCAAACATCATTTTCTACACAATAAATTGCGGGCAACAACGAGCAGCTTACCTAGCACTTCTTGAGCTGATAAACGCCTCTTTGGATTGGGATCAAGCATCTTCTTGACAAGATCTTTGGCACTATCGGAAACCTTAGGCCATGGATCTCTTTTAAAATCTATAACAGACCGAATAATGGCTTGAGCAACTCCCTGTTCCGTTTCTGCATTAAACATAAATCCTTATAGGTCAGATCATATGCACAGAAGCTTATAAACAAACTAGAATGTTATCTATTAAAAACAAAACGTTAAGAACATGATAACTTGAGAAGAAAATTACCTGCCCAAAATGGCGGCACACCGCAAAGCAGAATGTATAATATGACTCCAGCACTCCATACATCAATTTCTTGTCCATAATTGCGCTTCAAAACCTCCGGTGCCATGTAATATGGACTTCCGACAATCTCGGTAAATTGTTCACCTATTCATTAATCAATAGAAAATTAATCAGAAAAGCGAAAAAAACTATCACTCTCTGCCGTGATTCTTAGCTCTCAATGCACAAGCACAACATGCATAAACACTGTAAAAGGTTTCAGTAAGGGAATAATAGTTCAAAATTATAAGTTTGAATTGAAACATGAATAAATCAATATACATACCAGGAGTGAAAAATACAGATAGGCCAAAATCAATAGCTTTAAGAGCAGCAGTTTCCTTTTTATTGGCAAACAAAAAGTTCTCAGGCTTAAGGTCCCTATGCATCACTCCATTCTTGTGACACACCTGCAACAAAAAGTAACAAGTAGAATAAAATGTATTACATCATCTCAGCTGAACAAACAAGGAGAAAATAACAGCTCTCTCTTTCAACAAAATGCAAATTTTATTTAAATTATATTCCATAAATAATTTAAGTTAAGGTATCTCTTTTTTTTTAAATATATTTCATAAATAATTTAATATCCATTTAATCCTAATTTTATTTTCCTTCTCCAACACAATTATACAATCATTTTTAAAAAAAATTTACAGAGAAAATAATTTAAGTTAAGGTATCCAAAAAAAAAAAAAAGTTAAGGTATCTCTTTTTTTTTTTCATAAATAATTTAATATCCATTTAATCCTAATTTTATTTTCCTTCTCCAACACAATTATACAATCATTTTTTTAAAATTTTTACAGAGAAATTAAAGTTTTTTTTTTTCAATTTTAAGCTCATGATCTATTATATTTTATAACTTATTGAGTTTTCTTCTCCAATCGAATTTAAGATACCTAATAAATTTATTATTATATGAATTCATTTCATATTATTGAATTTAAGATACCTAATAAATTTATTATTATATGAATTCATTTCATATTATTTAATCTGTATAATTACAATTCAATGTTTTAGACTTAAAATATAATATTATAATAATGTGTAAAATATATGTCCGTGTCATATATTTTCAATAATAGATATTTTCTTTGTGCGTTTCTTATCGGGTCCATATCAGTGCATCATTAGTCTTTGTACATAATGAAAAATAGAATGGATTGCATAACATTAACTCTTTTCATGCCAATCCTACAATCTTGAATAAGTAGAATCTCCATAACAAAGCTTCAATCAACATTTTAGCATAAGAAATAGTACAGATCATGTTTTGGATTCAATCATGTTAGGATGACATAAACTCATTAAAAAAAAATTGAAGAATATGACAATACCATCATAAAATTTTAAATTATTATTCAAGGTACATATTTGTTCAATAAATTCAATTAAAAAGTTCTCAGATTTTTTAAAATTTACCAGATAATATAGCTAAGAAAACTTGAAGGTGGCAACGACAACATAAAAATATGAGAAAATTAGAGCAACTATATAGAAAAAGGCTATGAATATACCAAATTTGAATACTACCAAGATAACTTCTACAACAAGTCTTCAGTCCACAATCTCAATCAGTAAGGAACAACAAAGGGAAAACTATGTAGCCATACAAAATAAGATCATTCATAAGAGTTCTCTAAGAAATAATACAAAATTTTCTAAGTTGTAATTATTTCAAGCTTTCTTCTTCTCTGTCGTGCAAATAAGAGCCACACAAAAATCCCAAACCACAATCAATCAAACATCAAATCAAGGAAAACCATCCTAAATTAATTGAATAAAACAAAAGAAATCATGAGACATCCAAAGAAGACAAAATTGCGAGATCTGCATCTAATATAAATTTTAGAGTGCTATATAAGCAAAAATAAAAATTTGAAGGTTAGATATGTAAGAACTTAGTGGCATGTGTGTGATCCCCCAACTTTCTGATATGTTCATCTAAGAAGAGAAAATTGTTAAAATAGGCATAAATTCTAAAGATGCTTCATTTATTAAATTAGAATAACATAGAACAGATCCTGCAAAATCTCTAAGAAACTCCCAATTCATAGAATTCCTCATAATATCAACATAAATAAGAAAAAAAAAACATAAATTATGATAGAACTATCATCTCACCTGCACAACCTCAACGATGGTCTTTGTAACCGCAGCAGCCGCCCTCTCAGTGTAATGTCCCCTTGCAACAATTCTATCAAAGAGCTCTCCACCCTCGCAGAGCTCCATGACAAGATGAACAGCATTGTCATCTTCGTAAGTATCCTTCAAGCTCACAACATTAAGATGAGGAGGCATATGCCTCATAATCTCAACCTCCCTCCTAACATCCTCAATATCAACAACAGTCCGGAGCTTCAACTTGGAAATACACTTGCAAGCGAACTTCTCTCTCGTCTCCTTATCAGTGCAGAGATATGTTATCCCAAACTCACCTCTTCCGAGCTCGGCACCGAGCTCATAGCGGCTTCCGATGTCGCTACCAGTGGGCTCTTTGAGAACGATGAGCTTAGAACCGCCCGAGTTCGGCGTTCGATTGTACTCAACCGAGAAGGGGTTTGGCTTCTTCCCCTTCTTCTGCTTCGCCTTGTTCTCCTTCTCTGAAGAATCAACCGGCGTCGCACAGCAATTACCCATTTCTTATGGCTGGCTGGGTTATTCTATAGGGTTTTGATTTTTGGACAAAGATCGGATTTTTTTCCCCAAAGTTTCGAAAACGAAGATCCAAATCGACGAAAGGTGTGACCTTTGGAAGATAGAAGAAGAGATATTTCCGTATGAAGGACTTCGGTGGGCGGATAAGAGATGGTGGGATGGATGGAATTTAATGGCAGGATGTTTAAGAAGATGTAAGAGGCAAATCAACGAGGGTTTGAATTGGCCATTTGTGGTGGGAAGAAACAGTCAAAGCTCAAACCAAAAAAGACTCTTTTTCTCTCCCCCTCTCCCTCCCTCTCCCTCCCTCTCCTTTTCCTACTCTTTTCCTCCGATTACAGACAAATCTGGAAGGAAAGGAAAGAGCAGGCGAAACAGGATAGACTTCTGAGAGAAATCCTTCGGCCACTCCGTCTCTCTCTCTGGAGCGGTCTCTCTTTCTCTCTCTCCTATTTCTTCGGGGCCTGCAGATTTGGTGCGTTTCCTTTCCGTTGAGCTGATTACAATCGGACCTTCGGTTGTGCCAGCTGTGATGATGCGAAGAAGTTTGACGGATTGACAGAAGTGGCTGCTTGAGTGGATTACTGGCGAAAGAGTAGGTGTTTGGGTTCCCCTTTTCGGTTGCCAATAACGCCGGAAAGGGGCTTTCCTGATTTCTCTAAACCCTTTTCTTTTTTTTTTTTAATAAAAAAATATTGTTAATTATTCATTTTATATTAATTAGGTTCTGATTAGTTCATATATATTATGATATTTGAAAATTATCGAACTATTAAGTAGCTGAAATCTTTAAATAACTTTGGTAGTAATGATATTTATGTCTTTGATTCATTCTTAAAAATAAGTTTTATTCCATGTGAATTTTCATAATTAAATTTAGAATAATCAAAATTTTGATTTTATCAAATTTATAGTAACACCGCATGTGATGAAGAGAAGAATCTATTCACATAAAAAATAAGACAATCTGAGTTCAAAAGAAATCAAAATCAAGTACTTGAAATGAAATTGAAATTTTAAAATATTAATTGGATGATAAAATGTTCTACAAATTTCCTATGCTTATAGTCAAGTCAAGTGTCTAGAGAAGAAGAATCTGACGAGCTCATGATTGCTTAATTCTTATCCCTCTAAGGCAATTAAATTATAATATAATGATATATGATCAAAGAAATTAATATAAGTTGTTCGATAGAGTATTTTAGATTTTAACTCTATTTACATATTATATCATTCTAAAAAATTCTAAAGAGACTCACACTCTCCATATAAATGTGATTCTTAGCATGAGATTCAATGGAGTTCAACGGCTTAAGGAATCCCAATACTCTACTAGCTAGGCTATCGCCCGAGTATCACTCTTGGACCACTTCTTGACTACGGTCACCAGACCATCAATCAACTATAGACATTCGGCGATATATTGAGTTTCATCACTGGAGCAACACCTGATTTATTGCCATGGCACAATCGTAGCAATAAAAACACTGCTCGATCGCCACCAAGACAACCGCCTAATTGACCTTATTAGATCACAATCTAAGCATCATTATTTGGACCACCATGCCACCTTTCACCATGTCGCCTTCATCAATTTGTCATCGCTTGACCTCCTCCATTAGACTGTCACCGTCCAACTAATGTCATCTGACCATTATCATCTAACTACCATCCACTAACTGTCGTCACCCAAATATGATCCTCCAACCATGGTTGTCTGCCTATGATTCCCTAACCACAGTCACTTGACTTTAGTTTTTGACCATTGTCACTCGACTTTGGTCCCCTAACCATTGTCGCATGATTTTGGGTAACAACCCGAAGTCTTAAATGGATTTATTTAAAAAGTTTGAAAATTCTAAAATGTGGTGATGTGACGCTATACTTTTGAAAGCTGCAACTCTTGGGGTGCATCGTTGGGGCACCGAAATTCGACATGATGACATCGATGCTCTTTGTTCTATAGTAATTATGGAATTAGCATGCAGTGTTGCAGCACCAGGTTGGAGAGCTATGGCACTAGCCACTGAAAAATGTTTTTATATATATTTATCCTCCACTTAGCCCTCCCCTACCCCTCACTTCGTTTTTTGCAGGCGATGGAGATAAGGTAGTGAAGAAGAAAAGACGAGAGAGAAGAGAGAGGAAGCTCTCCTGGGTTTTTTTGCTTATCGCTTATGTTAGAAAAATATTTTAATTATATTAAGTGACCTCTATTTTACATTTGTTTTCAATAATTTTAAGTTTGATATGTTTCTCTCTTCTAAAGTGATAAAAATATGATATCTCCTAATTTAGTGAACTTTCATCATATAACTTTTGGTATGTGATAAATATCCTTACTCTAAAATTTTTTAATGTATTATGTGGTAATTCCATCAGTTAGTTTTGCATGTGTGTTATTTACCTAAAATAAGCAAGGAAAATGCCAACTGCAAAATGATATGGAGATAATGTACAAAATCTAAATTTGAATATTAAAATAAAGATTGTGGTGTCAACCTGGATGTTAACCTGTAACTGATTGACTGATTACCCCGATGGATAGAGAGTGAAGACTCTTTATTTATAGACTAATTAGATTGGTTATTAATGGACATATTATTCGATTGATGGATGACAACTATGATAAATAAATATGACAGAGAATAAATAGATGATCGACTAATCATTGAGAAGACTGATTGTCTAATTAAATGATATTAGAAACACAATTGATACAAAGTCATATTGGTTCTGATATGATATATGATAAGACATATAAGATTGATATAAGTGTAACTGAAATAAATGTTTATGTTGCATATTATTTTATTATTATGCATTGACTGTAGTTGTAGATATTAGTAGTTTGTTAGGCTTTTATGCTCATTATGTGGTTTTTACATATTTTCAGGTAAATGTAAAGATCATGTAGAGTGAGGTTCTAGACTGCATGCTTAGTCTTTTCATTTTGCATTTATTAGTTATTCTTTTATAGCCATGATATGTAATAGTGATTAACCAGTTTATGTTGTATCATGAAATTGTATATGGGTTGTTTGGGACTTATATCAAATTGTAAATATTATATAAATGCATTTATATCTTTCGTAATTTATATTCCTCTATTTATATAAAATTGAAAAGCTCTATTGGTATTTAAAAATGATTGATTATGCGATGTTACACTTTGGTCCCTCATCCACCATTTCTTAATTAAAGTTATTTGACCGCAGTTGTCCGATTACGATCCTTCGACCATATTATTCAACTTCGATCCTTATATGGCCTCCTGACCACCATTGTTTGACTTCAGTCCTCTGACCATCGTTGTTAAACTATGGTATTCTAATCATCATCGCATGAATATGATCATCTAATCACCATCACTTGATTACAGTCCTCTAGCCATAGTTACCTTCTAACATTCCTCCAAATACCATCACTTGACTATAGTCCTCCAACCACCTTCGCCTAACTATTATCCTTCAACCACCATCACCCAATAATATGTCACGACCCAACCCGATCGGGACGGATCCCACTCGCATTGGGTCGTAAGTCAGACTCAAACTGACTGAACTGATTCTAGGATCTGGCTTTGGAATTTGTTTCAGAACTTTCTTCCAAACATTACTCACAGAAACAGACACACAGAGCTACTATAAGCATCAAAATACAACGGAACAGATCATCTATCTTTTCTTCCTCAAAAGAATCATATACAAATACAGCTCATGACTTTCATACAGAAAGAAAAGCAGAACAGAAAAGCCATGACTGTACAAAAATCAAAAGGACAAAAATACCTATAACAGATCAAACTCTGAACTTCTATTCCTGGACTTCCTTCCCCTTCCAGAACCTGAAAACCACGCAGAAAACAAGGATGAGCTACAACAGCTCAGCAAGACATCAAACCTCCAATCAAAATCCTCAGAGTCCACAACAAACACATCAGACAGAAATCCGTACAAAAATCAGAATTCAGAACTGACAGAGCAGAACAGAACGAATCAAATCAGAACAGAACAAACATAACAGAACATAATAAATATCAAATCAGAACTGAATCATATATCAAATCAGAACATATAGAATCGTACGGAAATCAGAATCAGATCATATCATAATAGAATAGAATCGTATATCAGAACAGATCAGAATCGTACATATCAGATCAAATCAAAACAGAACAAAATTGTGTCAGAATCGTATCAGAATCATAACCATACAGATCAGATCAATTATATCGTACGGAAATCAGAAATTCATATCAAATCAGAACAAATATTTCAGAACAGATCTTCCTTCCAGATTTCAGAACTTCCCCTTATATCTCCCTTGTGCATACAACACCAGAACTTCTCCTTATAGCTCCCTTGTGCATACAGCATCAGAACTTCCCCTTATAGCTCCCAATTTTGCTTACAGCACCAGAACTTCCCCTTATAGCTCCCAATTGTGCTTATAGCACCAGAACAGAACAGATACACAGAATTTCAGAACTTCACAGAACTTCTCAGAACTTCCCCTTATAACTCCCTTGTGCTTACAACACCTTCCCCTTATGGCTCCCAATAGCATCATAACATGTCATTTCAGAACAAATCCGGACAAATTCAGAAATCGTACGAAAATCCGGCGGCATAACGGTAGTCGATGATCTTACTTGAACAAAAATCCAATCGGCCTGGGACAATTTCTCAGGACGATAATTAATTTCCTTGACGATTTGCTCTCTGACTTTTGCCATGTTCTGATCGTCCCGGGACGATCCCAGATCGGCCCGGACGATCCCTACAGGAAAACATTCATGTAACTTATGTACAGATTCTGGAACAAATTTACAACTGATCGTCCCGGGACGATCCAAAATCTGCCCGGACGATTTGAGCAAAACTGTTGTTACATAATATTCCTCTGACCACTAACATTAACAAAGACTTCAACATATAAAAATAGAAAGCAAAAAATGCCTCACTAGAAAATTTATCCGA